CAAACAAACAAACAAACAAACAAACAAAACTGTACCTGAATCCTGAGCATCATGCGCCGATTTACAGACTGCAGTTTCTTCTGGTATTCCTCAGCAACTTTATATTTTGCCTGCTCCTTCTGCAGTTTCATAATATAGTCCACAGAGCACTTCAAAATAGTTCCCTTGTTTTGCCTCTGGTCACTTGGGAAAAGGAAGACAATAAAATGAATAAATGTCCACACAGAGCAAACCTGCTTTTACTTTGAGTAATGCCACCAGTTCAGGCAAATAGTGTGACTTAAATTTCCCCCCAGTAATGTGTTGAGGGTCTATATATGAATACTCATTAACAGAACTTCTATCAGTTATTAAGGACATTTCCCTTAATGATGCAACTTACAAGCAAAGAATTCACACAAAAGCCTATCAGGTCTATTTGTAAATAACAAATCCATCACAGAACCTGGGTTGTCATATACATTACAATCAAGAGTGTAATATACCTGACAACCCAGGTTGTCAGGTATATTACAATCACAGTGTAAAATGTCACTAGCTTTTTCAAATTAAGAAAATTAGAAACAGTAAGCAAATTCTGAACTGCAGATGATAAGGCAGAATTTCGATTGTTAGATGGCCTAATCTAAAGTCAATGTTAAAATCAATGAGTATTAGGATGACACAATACTGTTGAGAAAAATGTAACATCATCTCAAGCAGTCTGAAAATGATCGTAAAACTGCACAGAAGAATTTTAAGGCCAGTATAAACAAACCCATACAACTCAGCCATGTTTGGTACAATATTGTGTAACTACAGGAACAACACCCCACCATGCCAATCAACCCCCCTTCTCACTTCCATTTCAATTTTTTTTTTTTAATTAATTTCTTTTTTGGAATTACTTTAAGGAGCCTACTTCTAAAGGTTTAAAGCCCTCTGCAAGGTATCAATCATTTAGGGGTCTAATAAGCAGTTAATGGCACTTAAGGGACAAAGAAAGAGATTAAATGGCTTCACCAATGGTAACAAATGCATTAAGTTCCCCCCCAGAAACAAACCAAACCTCCCAGCAAAAAATATGGAATCCTCCCTTGAAAAATTATGCTATTCCAATGATGCTGTTTTTATGCTCTTGTATTGTCGTATCAGGCCATCACTGTTTTACTATATGTTGACTGATTGGAAGTGATGGAGGCATTGTACATTGCTTGAAGTTCCAGGAGATTGAGTTCCATGAAATTGTTGGTCCAGCTGTCCTTATGTTTACAGTCAGGGTGGAGAGGCTCCTGTCAAGAGGCAGTGACACTGGCTATGATCATCATCTTGGCAGGCTACTTTTTAAATTTCAATTGTCTGCCAACAAACGGAGATGCGGCTGAATATCCCTCCAAATGCTTGATGAAGCCTCTCTACTGTTAACATCAGGACAGTGGGACTAAACTGGTTGATGGTGTCCTGTTTCAGCAATAGCATGCTAAAGGGTGTAGTGGTCTCAATCATTGTTGACACCACAGGACTAGGCCCACTAGCTTTGCTCTCAAGTCCCAGTACATCTTTAGAGCCACACTCTAGCTGGCACTGCCTGAAATTAGAAGATGAGAAGTCTTCTCTGCACTGCCAAAGATTGGTGATGCACTCTTCAGGCAGGGTTGCTATGCCCCATGTGAGGTTGAGAACTGCCCCAAGGAAAATAGGATTTTGTGACAGAGAAGTGTGACTGCTTAATTTACAATGAACTCCTATCCTATAACCTTAAGTCATAGCTTCAATGGTCTTAGTTATCAAAGGCCCTACTTCAAACTAGTCCGACAGGTATTGAAAAAGCATAAAATCTACCTCACTACATGTAGTGAGAGATCTTGTAGTGTTGCTTTATTCCCTATGGGATGTACCGGTACACTGCGTCGAAGGCATTCACTTGTCAGGAGGAGGTTATGGTGAGGAGATTCTAGAGAGTATCAAGTGTCTCAAGACTGACTCAGTCACGTTGTGATGCAGAGTCTGCTCTACTGGGTCAGTCTTTCTCTGGGAGCAGACACTTGTAAAGCAGGTGTTGGCTTTGGGATATGGGTCGTCTTCCGATAATCCCAGAGGCCAAAGCTCCAAGGAACATCTGTGTGGTCTAAAGGTCAAGGTGTAGTGAGTGCGTACCGCCTTGGTGATTTATCTGCTGGAGTGACAATGTGATAAGCAAAGTACTCTTGTCCCTGAAATCTGAAAATTCAGGAATGGAAGTACTCTGTGAAATTTGGGAAGGACAAGTAGAAATCAAAAGTCTGGGGTCCATCCTTGGTTTCAACTGCCAACAAGAAGTGTGAATGGATAAAGTCCATCATGTATGGAAGGAAGACAATCAAGTCACATTTGGACTAGGAGAATGCTTGTAGATGGGACCTTATAAAGGTGACAGAGAGGAACCAAGTCTACCAGGCTTGCCCTCAGGCTGAAGATGAGCTGAAAAAAAGATGATGTGAAAAAAAGCCCGAGCAGAGGACCTGAGCCCAACTTACATAAGTCGGAGAATGTGTAAGGATAGGAATCATGAGATTGTTTCAGAATCCAGGACAGCTGGTAAGTTTATATGTGACGTCAAAGTAAGCTCCAGTTTCAACAGTGCATCTGCCTATGAAGGGCCAGTTGATAAAGTGTTTAATTGTGGGAATGGCTAGCTGGTGAGAGCAAGTGGTAACAACTGTCAAGGTGAGGACTCCTAAGGCACTGACAAAGTGACAGGATTGAAGCTCAGAAGTTCCTTTGACATAGATGAAGCTTCCCTTGGGTGGGCTGGAACGTGAAGTAAGACAATTTCAGATATACAAATGAAGCCTGGGTGATGACAGGGGTTGAGTGACTGTAAAAGGAACCGCATGCACATGTAATAATTATGGAAGAAGAGTGGAGTTCAATAATGAGTTGGGCCGAGCAAAAAGGCAGACACGAATCCAAGTGGGCAGCCGAAAGGACAGACACAGGTATTCATCTGACTGGCCAGATGTCTGCTGGACCTTATTACTGTAGGTAGCACCTGTAAGTGCAGGCAATGAGGACACTTGAGAAGTGATGTAGTCAGACTCAAGAGAGAGGAGGCAGTGTTGAAGTTCCCTTCAGGTCTGCATCTTCCAGCACTGCCTGTGAGGGTTGAGCAGAGGGCAGAGCAGGATTTGACAAGTGTGGAGCTGAGGGACAAGAAATTGTTCAAGTGTTTGTCCTCTGAATCAATTGTGGCTACCAGTTAGTTTGCGATGAAGGTCTTTCCCATATAGGGTTACCTGGAATTTAATTCACGCCATAACATTGGAAGCTTATCACACCCAATCCTGAACAATAGTTCTATGGGTATATATAGATAGGCAAAGAAAACTTCATGAATTACTTGAAGACAGAGGTGACCTTTTTTGTCCAGGGGGCCCCCAGCATGACTGCAGTGGGGGCTGGACAGTGGGAAAAAATCCCTTTCAAGTACAAAAAGAAAGATACTCCAATAAGAGAAATGAAAAAATAGGAGACGGTGAAGAAAGACTCCTAGTAACCTAGAGAAAGATGATTTGACTTTATCTTTATTGAGAAACGAGCTACTGCTAGAAAATCAGCCAAGTTTGAAGTTGTCCTTAACCACTTGCAGCCAGGTACTTTTTTTAACCATTGTACATGTATGTGCTGCTGGGGTTGTGTTTTTCATATTTTCGTTTTTCAAAAATTTTCAAAAATTCATATTAAATATATCAAATTCATATGAACACGTAAACCTCATAGAATGATTGGCTTGTGGCGAGTCTAGCCTGACAAGCAAGCTCCACTGACCCTTCAGTTTTGCAGCCACACCATCCACTCTGTATTGAGCCTCCATTGTGTGGTGTTGCATTATCCTTTTTTGTTCCGGGCATTGACCCAGCACGTTGCTATACTGCTGTGTTCCAATGCAGAGCAATTGATGGTCAAGACCCCACGGTGTAATATGCAGTTAGTGCATGGAAAGCTTTGTCCATGCACAGGGCAATGTAAACAGTTGAATGCGTGCGGGCCATGATGGACAAAGGAGTCATGCTATAAAACCTGGGGTCTAAAAGTGTGCTTTTTTGGACCGCTGTTGCATCTAATCTTTGCTACTTTTTTGAAACTATGGGACGTTAAAACAAGTACACAAAGAAATACACACAGACAAATGTTTGCAGAGAACTTTTTTTCTCTTATTTTTCTTCTTGTCATTTCTCTTCTTGTGTATTCCTTTCATTTCTCATTGAAATGGTTCAACTCATAAAACTAGTAAAATAAATTTCCACTCTTTCCAATCAAATAAAAGGCAAAACTCACAAAAAGGTAAGATCATCACTTCACTACAATACATTTCCCGACTATGACTGAACTCCTCACACCAGTACAAGGAATTTTGGTACTTTTTCAAGGGATGAAAATCCAACAACCTCAAAGTAATGCATTCCAGAAACTTAGTCTTTTTTTGTCATTTTTTCAAGGGTTGACCCAATCGGTAAAACCAGTACAAGGAATTTTGCTACTTTTTCAAGGAATCAAAATATAACATGTCCTGAAACTTGTACATTCAATGAACTTGTTATTTCCTTCCCCACGCGGAGTGGGTTCGGTTTCCTAGTGATACTTACCCCTGCCCAGCCTACATATGCAAATTTCCAAAGTGTCCATTACAATTCGTTGAAAAGACTTGATTATGTATTCTGCCCCTTGACCCTCCACAATGCATTGCGGTCCTGCCGCCATGTTCATCCTTTTCGAAGCGGTAAGATCACCAGAGCCAAAGTGGGAAGGACGGGCAGGAGCGGCTGGGCAGGGTAAGTATCACTAAGACACCCAACCCACTCCATGTAGGGAAGGAGTCTCTTGCATTCACATACCCCTGCCCAGCCTACATATGCAGAGTGGCAACGTATCCTGGAGGTGGGTTGGCGATGGGAGTATAATACCTAAAAGAACATCAGGCGGTTATCGCAAGAGCGAACACCCACCCAGTGACCCTAATAAGGCTAGCTATCAGCCGTCTGGCGCTGGATGTTGCCTGGACTACCGAGCGTGCCAGTTGTGCTTGTGCCCGTTCTTGTGCATTTTGTAAGATAGATTTTGGGGTGCCCTGCTTGTGCTTGTGTAGGCACATAACATGGAGATGCACACAACCACAGTACATGTACGTGTCATTCAAGCACGTGTTTGTCGGTACATGCACTTAT